AGAGCGGTGGCGGGGGGAGGGACGGAGTGCGGTAGGGGAAGAGGCGGTAGTAGGGGACCGACTCGTCGAACGTGACGTCCTGGGAGGACAGAACACGGCGAGAGGTGGGGTGGTAGAACTGCCACCCTGGGGCGTCAGGGGGGAAACCCAGGAAGACGCAAGGAGCAGCACGAGGGGACAGCTTGTCCGCAGACAAGTCGCGGACAAACGCCCGAGATCCCCAGACACGGAACGCAGACGCATCGCCAACCTTCCCCGTCCACAGCAAGGCTGGGGAGGTCTCCGGCATGGAGACCCTGGGCTGAAGGTTGATCTGATGCGCCGCGTACCGAACCGCAAACGGCCACAGAAAATGGGGGGCAGCCGCATGCATCATGGACGTACGGGCGACGTCCATGACCATGCCAATGCGGCGCTCAGCAATCCCATTTTGCTGTGGAGAGTCCGGAAGCGTGAAGGTCTGGCTGATGCCTCGTGCACAACAGTAGGCTCGCAGAAGGCCAGAGGAGAACTCTCCTCCTCTGTCAGAGTGCAGACGCAGAACAGGAAAGTCCGAGCCGAAGCTCCGCCTGAGCTGGAGACGAGCTGCGCGGATCCAGTCGATCAACACCTCAGTGACATCACCCTTGCTGCGCAAGGGGAAGACTGTGGTGTAACGCGAGTAGTCGTCAACCACCAGCAGGAAGTAGCGCTCGTGACCCTGTCCACGGACGCGGGCCGGGCCCCACACGTCCATGTGAAGCGTCTGCAGCGGGGCCTCTGTCGGAGGAAACTGGGAGGAGTGAGGGGTAGCCCGCTGTCGTCCCTCGACACAGGGGACGCAGGTAGGGCCAGGCCCCGGAGGAAGTGGAGGGAGGGACCGGGGAAGACCAGAGACAAGGACACGGGAGGCCATGCCTCGGAGACGAAGCAGGGAGGGGTGACCAAGGCGGTGGTGCCAGAGGAGAGTCTCGTGAGACAGGAGGCGACACGAGCAGGGGGCAGACTCAGGACCAGACCTGGACGCTGCAGCAAACACCTGACCCGACGCAGCTACCTGACCAGACGCAGGGACCGGAGGAGACGCAGTGGTCAGTGTGTACAGGCTCGACCCCGGCCGACGGGTAAACGTGGCCAGGTGTCGGCCTGTCCGAGCGTCCGTGCAGTGGGTCACCCGCTGACTCGCAGGAGTGAACTGGTGAACCCCCGCATCCTGTAGGTCAGCACCACTCACCAAGTTCGTAGAGAACGAGGGGAGGTAAAGACCAGACAGGGTGCCAGAGGGGGCCGCCGGACACGGGAGGACAGTGGAGAAGTGAGCAAGGACAGGACCCCCAGAGGGGTCTGCCAGAGAGACCGCAACTGGCCGGCCAAGTGGCGTGAGTGTGGTGCAGTCTCGAAAGAAGGAGCGAGAAGCCCCCGAGTCAAGGGTAAAGGTGTGGGAGGCCGAAGTCGACGCAGAACCTGAGAGAGCAGACTCACCAGTACCTGAGGGAGCAGACGCACCTAGAGCAGCAGCCTCGCTAGCACCTAGAGCAGCAGCCTCACCAGGACCTAGAGCAGCAGTCTCAATGCCCGGGTCGGGCGGAAAACACCGGTAACAGTCACCCTCATCACTAATAGTCACAGTATACATGGCAGCAAGAATAGCATCAAAGTCAAGGTCAAAGACAGCTACACCCGCCCTAGACAGCTCACCCCAGCGGGGGATCTCAGTGGCTTCAGGGAACTGGTGACGCCAAGCGTCCGTCAGGCGGCCAAAGCAGCGCTGGGTGGAGTGCGCACCCCCGCACTGCTCACCCGCGCGGTCGCCGGTGCGCAGGACGTAGGTGCACGGACCAGTACCCCCACCCCTCTGGCGTGCAGTGTACCACTCACGGAGCTGCTGAGGGGAGGGGACGTCACGAGTGCGCTGCTGCTGCTGCTGCTGCTGGCGCTGACCACCACCGGAGCTGACCCTCTGCGCAGCGCCACCCCGACCAGCTCCACCTCCTCCGCCGCCTCCTCCTCCACCGCCGCCACCTCCGCTCCCTCCGCCACCGCCGCTGCCGCCTGCGCCTCCACTGCCGCCACCTACACCTCCACCTCCGCCACCACCCCCACCGCCACCCCCACCTCCTCCACCGCCTCCACCGCCGCCTCCACCGCCCCCGCTAGCTCCTCCAGCGCCCCTGCCCCCCTTGCCCCTGCCAGGGCGGCGTCTCCCGCTAGGGGTAGACGCTGCCCCAACCGACTCCAAACCAGCGAGGTCGGCCGCAGCAGCAGAGGCAACAGAGGGCAAAAGAGGGGAGGGGGAACACCCCTCAAAGATGGGGGTGCGAGGGTCACCACGAGAGGCTCCTACAGCGACTATGCTCTTTTCTGCTGCTAGGAGGGCCTTCTCGAGGAGGTCAACGGTGAGAGTGGTGGGACAAACCGAGAGGAAGTGGTCCCTGACTACGCGAAGGGAGTCAGGGAGACGGGTGACTATGTAGTAGAGGGTGATGTACATGGGGGGGGGGTTCTTGGCGCAGAACTCAGCAGGAAGCGCAGCGCGGTAGCGAGTGTCACTAGTGCGGAGGTGCGTAATGAGGTCAGCGACTGTGGGAAAGGCAGCAAGGTCAGGGAAGAGGTACGGTAGCATGAGGCGGCTCAGTGCAGCAGTGGCAGGGGAGGAGTAGCGTGCAACTACAGCGTCGTACAAGGTCTGAGCACTCTTGTACTGGCTAAAGTGCGCACGCTCAGAGGTAGGTAGGTGGCGACGCACAGCAAGACGTGCAGCAGCATCGCGCGTGGCCCACTGTGAGCGAACAGTGGCGTCAGCATCAGCAGCGGGGGCAGGAGAGGCACCAGAAGTGAGGTCAAAGAGGGAGAGGCCGTCTGCTCTGTCGCACTGTAAGAAAAGCTGCAGGTCATCTATCCAGACGTCAAAGTCAATGGCCCAACCCTCAGCGTCAAAAGCGAGGACACTAGGGGTAGCCATGACGGCAGTAGACTAGCAGTGCAAACAGTAGGGTGAGGGCAGTGCTGTGAGAGAGGCGCTGCTCTTACCGGACAGGGCGGTTCGGGCGGCTCGGCTGCAGGGCGGCTCGGCGACTCGGCGGCTCGGCGGCTGGGCGGCTCGGCGGCGGGGCGGCTCGGCTGCTGGGCGGCTCGGCTGCTGGGCGTATCGGCGGCAGGGCGGCTCGGCTGCTGGGCGGCTCGGCTGCTGGGCGGCTCGGCGGCTGGGCGGCTCGGCTGCTAAGCGGCTCGGCGGCTGGGCGGCTCAGTTGCTGGGCGGCTCGGCGGCTCAGCGGCTGGGCTGCTCGGTTGCTGGGCGGCTCGGCGGGTGGGCTGCTCGTAGGAGTAGGCGCGGGGGCCGTAGGAGCAGGCGCCGGGGCCGTAGGAGCAGGGGCCGGAGGCCGCTAGGGCGGCGGATCGGGGCCGCGAAGGCGGCGGATCGGGGCCGCGAGGGCGGCGGAGTAGGGGCCGCGAGCGCGGCGGAGAAGAGGGGCCGCGAGGGCGGCGGATCGGGGCCGCGAAGGGCGGCGGATCGGGGCCGCGAGGGCGGCGGAGCGGGGCCGCGAGGGCGGCGGATCGGGGCCGCGAAGGGCGGCGGATTGGGGCCGCGAGGGCGGCGGAGCGGGGCCGCGAGGGCGGCGGATAGGGGGCCGCGAGCGCGGCGGAGAAGGGGCCGCGAGGGCGGCGGATCGGGGCCGCGAAGGGCGGCGGATCGGGGCCGCGAGGGCGGCGGATCGGGGCCGCGAGGGCGGCGGAGTAGGGGCCGCGAAGGGCGGCGGATAGAGCCGCGAGGGCGGCTCGAAGGGGCCGCGAGGGCGGCGCTAAGGGGCCGCTAGGGCGGCGCGAGAGAGGGGAGCGCGACTCGGGCAGGGGCTGAGTGCGCTCCGGGCAGGAAAAAAAAACGGTGGGCCCTAGGAACAGTTCCCACGGGGGAACCTGCTCGATACCATGAGAAGAAACAAGGAATGAATGAACTATGAATGAATTGAGTACAAGTAATAACCCTGATTGGGTTGTACCCCTTATGGGCTACCCCACTATAGCCTACACAATATGCATGAGCTATAATGTTCTGACAAATGTTGTATTGCTTAAAGCCTAAGGGTACATTCCGCTCTGGACATGTCCCAATCGTACATGTCCCAATCGATTCCACCGCTCCGAACCGAACTAAACTAGAGACGCGAAAATTTTGACAATGTTTGAAACTAGGGTGTAATTCGGTTTAATAAGATGCAGTGCGGTAAAATCGATTGGGACATGTACGATTGGGACATGTCCAGAGCGGAATGTACCCTAACCCTTTTCTAGCTAATAGTTTCAATCAAACATACATATAGATATAGTTTGACAAGACATACCCTATAATATCATGTCGTTTTTAGTCCTGTCCACAATGCACGCTACAACTTGGATTGCCGCAAGGCCGCACACTGACTTATCCTACACCTCCCAATCCACTCTGCATCATGCCTCCTATGAAACTAGCCCTGCTGAGGTTGCATTGCAAAGTGTTTATACAGCACCCAACACGAAAATTACAGATTCCTCCTGTAAAATCATACGCCAAAGTAGGCGGATGCAAAAACAGCAGTGGCCGCAGCACTCAAGGCAAGAAGAGGGCCGACGGGCATGTTCTTTCCTGGGAGGAAGAGGCGGACGGCTGCAGGGGCGTGAGCGGTGGAAATTGGGGCGGTGGTGGTGGTAGTAGTGGTGGGAAGCGGGGGATGGTTGGGGATGATGGAGATGGGTGAGAGGAGTAAGAGAAGCAGCACGTACTTGGAGTGCTTTCAAAGGAAGAGACGAAGGCAGCATTCAAGTGGCCAAAAAAGGACCGTTTGAGAGAGAGAGAGAGAGAGAGAGAGAGAGAGAGAGAGAGAGAGAGAGAGGGGGGGGGGGGGGGGTGGGGGGGAAGAGAGAGAGGGAGAGGTCTTGGGGAACAGAGATGTAGAGGCAAAAGTGGAGTGTGGGTGGGGGAGAGGGAAGAGGGGGCGGGTAGGAGGAAGAAGCGAGTGTGCATTGCATTGTAGAAAGCGACTGACCAAAGAGCGCGCAGAAGAGCAGGCCAGCGCCAAAGCCCAAAGCGTTGCCCAGAGACTCCGTCTGAGCGCTCTGCATGAGATACAAGGCCTGCCCATGCCATGCCATGCCCGACGGGTGGTGGGGGGGGGGGGGGGGGGGAGTGGAGGAGGGGAGGGGTGGGGTGGGGAGGGCGGCGAATCCAAAGGGGATTTTGTGAGTGTGGGAGGAGGATGCGGCAGAAGAGTTGGCAAGCATGGAGCAGTGTTTCTTCCGGTCGATTGCTCAGGGCTGCTTGAATGGTGCCAGCAGCCAATCTGCGCGGCTGGTTGGTTGACTTGAGTGGGATTCACTTGACTGGTGCAGTCATGCTGGCTGGCTGTGTGGCGAAAGCCAGCGCATGGAGAAGACACCAGATTATGTCAGCCGTGGCAGACGCGGACTTGGCATGGAAAAGGATTAGCGAAAGATGAAGGGCAACGCTGCTTCAGCGCTGGTTCAGCTCTGCTTCAACGTTGCTTCAACGCACCGTGGCGAAAAGAGCAGCGGCTGTGAGCGCGCCTCCCAGCGAGTACTTGCAGCCCGAGCGGCTGTCTGGGGGAGGACGAGGCGGAAAGAGTGACGGACAACGAGGGGGAGGCAGGGGAGGCGGAGGCGGGGGGAACGGGGGGAAGGGCGAGAAATGAAACGGATTCGGGACCATGAACTGACACGGGAGAGACTGATGCGAAATCTATAATTCCATGAAACATACGGCGCCTCCACACATGCGAGGCGCTTAGCTCGACAGCTGGGCTCGGCGCGCAGCAGCTCACATCCGAAGAGGCCGCCGAACAGCAGCGTAGAGCCGTACGCAGCTGCCGTCAACCCCGCGGCATCTCCCAATCCCGCAGTCGCCGCCATCGCCCCACCGCCACCGCCTCTCCGCACGGGCTTAATCGCTCCCCCGAGAGATCCCGCCGAAAGCCCGCGCGGCGGAAGCTGCACGGCGGGAGATCCGCGCAGCCACGAGGAGCCCCGCGGGGCAGCAGCGGCGCGGCGGGTCGCGGCGAGGGAGGCGCGTGGCGCAGCGGAGATGGAAGTTGCGGACGTTGACGCGGACGGGGCTGCGCTTGTGACGGCGCGGTTGCTGACGGAATAGCTGACGGCGGAAAGGCCCGCGGAAGTGGCAGTGAGAGCCATGGTGATGGGGAATAAGCGCGAACGAGGCTTGCGGCGAAGGAGGCGCGAAAAGTTGCTGCTGCGGGAGGGGTTGATTGGAAAGGACGCACAGGTGGGATGGCGGATTTGAGGGGGGAGAGCCCCATTTGGGTACTACCCCAATTGTCGATCGTAGTAATCCGCCTCCCCGTTTACTAACACTTCTTGCTGGCATATCGAGGTTGGCATATCCGCTCCCAATGTGAGCACGTGCGAACCCCCATTCCGGGAGGGCTGAAAATGTTCGTCGCTGACACACTAACTATGGCAAGGACGGATAGGTTTGGTTTGGCGGATTTGGGGGGATTCTGAGGAAGAGATTGGTGCAAGGGAATGATGCGGCGGTTTTCTGGTGACCATTTTTTAGAATTCCCGCACCCATTTTGGACGCGTCAACAGTAAACATCGTTAATGGTTGACGCCTTCCACATGACATGGCATCCAAGAGGGGTATATACATTTTTGTCCCAATATGCGCATTTGTGACGCAAAAAAAAAAAGATATTCCATAAGCTGTAATGGTTTTTTTCGGATTCCTTACTGCGCACCTCAGCACTGCGTACAACACGAACTGTATCTTTGCCTGATACAAATTAACGGTGTTCGCCACTTCGCGAGTCAATTTTGCCAAACCTCGCACTGCTGGACCGAGCCGAGTTGGCCTACGCTTCGGGGCTAGCCCGAACCTCGCTGCCAGCGTCGCACTAGATAGCTCGCACACACCGCGTTACCGTTTTAATTGTTCGCTATAAATGTTCGTCCATGCATTCGCTCACATTTGTACTCGTTTGATTTTTTAGTGCAATTTTCACTCGCTTGCTCGTTCAATTGCACCTGTAACACATGGTTATCAGAGCCACTTTCTTCGGACCGTGCATTTTTTCGCAACCAGCAACTCTCGAACTATTGATTTTTCACTTGAAAGGGATAGACGCCACTCAGAGTACTAGGAGCCGCTGCCCTCGTGCTCCCTCGTAAGCACGTGCAGTCACGACCGATGTCCTTCGACATGGGCGACCGCATTAACGTCGCCGACCTCACGCACGAACGTCTGGACGAGATAATGCCGCAACTGCAAGACAACGCACTAGAAATACGCTGACGACAGAACGAGGCTCAGTCCACAGCGCAGCAAATCCTGTACCAAGACAAGCACCACAAGCAGCACCGGTAGCAACAGCGCCGTTCAGACACAAGATCGAGGGACAACGCGCAGCCGCCGCCAATAATGGTGCCGCACGCGAAGATACGTGCGGCAAACATAGGACGGCATGTCAGATGTTGCATATGTTTGTGGGCTATTGTGAGGCATGCAATAGGGGGTACAACTGTTTTATGGTTATGTATTTGTATCCCAACCCTTGCTACCGTCATCACCCGGATATAAGACAGTGTTGAATAGTAGACAGGGGTTGTCTACTATACGGGTGTCTCTTATAAACAGGCTAGCCTCATTATAAAACACCTATTTGTGTGTACGAGATAAGACGTATGTCTTATAATCGAAACTTCAATAAATTATAGCGAAAGTTGAAATACCGCGTACATTTTTACCCTTGCGAAGCGCGAATTCTTCCACGCGCTGACCCAGGACCTACCAAATTTGCCCCTGCAGGTGTTCTCCATAACGTGGCGTCCCGGGCAGAGGTTGTCGAAGTGGCACCTTCGCAACATCCACACTCATTATGAGAAACTCTTTTTCAAGAAGTACGGAAAATATTTCTAAGTAGTTTAAAAAGTTTCCATTTATAAGACTTATAAGACACCCTAAACCATCCCGTTTACAAGATAACTCAAGCATTTTTGCCCGTGTACGAGATAAGACATATATGTCTTATATCCGGGCGATGACGGTAGTGTTAAAGTTTAGAAGAAAGAAGAGGATTGCACTAGCAAGAATGAGGATACAAATAGCAAACCCTAGAAGGGTTGTACTCGCTATAGAGCACCCCACTACAGGCTAGAGCATAAGATAACATTCTGACACACCCCCATAGCCAAAGTGGGGTGTAATCAGCAGAGTAAGCAAAGGAGTACAAGCTCAGGGTGGATCACAATGTCACCACACATTCTGAGCACAAGTTCAAGAAGCAATAGTTTAAGTTCACAATTATGAGCAAAGCTAGTGGTAGTCACAGCGGGCAAGTGAGGAGGAGGAGAGAGAGTGAGAGGAGAGGAGATAGGAGGCGACGGCTGAAGCTGCAGACACACAGGCAACAGGAGGCAGACTGGCACAGCGGCTACCGGACGAAGTCCCCGGAATACAGGAGTAACAGGCCCCGCGGCTAAAGTAGCGGCAGACGAGCAACGGACCCACGGGCGGCTGGCACAGCTGGCTACGACTGGGCTACCGGACGAAGTCCCCGGAATACAGGTGCTGCTGGCGACACGACGGCAACCTCCATTCAGCTTCCCCAAACTATCCCACTCCCCCCTGGCACATACCCGCTGCTACACCGCTAGCTCCACTCCCCCTTCACCCCCCCTTAGTACCACTCCACCGGCTCCAACACGTCCACCCCCCCTCAGCGGCAGCTGCAGCACAGGGAGACGGAGGAGGAGGAGGAGCAGGGAACAGTACACAGTGGGTGCACCCCCATACCCCGCACCCCCAAACCCTAATACAGGAGAATGGGGAGTAGGAGGGGTGGGGCACGAGTAGAAGCGCTGGGGGACAGTAGGGAGGGCAGGGGCAGCAAGGAGCGGGCCCACCACGGGCCTGGTAGGGTCGCCCGAACCGCGCGTAGGCGGCCTGAGCCGCGCGCGGGCCTGGCGCCGCCCGTACGGGCCGCGCGCGGGCCTGGCGCAGCCCGTACGGGTGGCGCGCGGGCCTGGCGCAGCCCGTACGGGTCGCGCGCGGGCCTGGCGCAGCCCGTACGGGTCGCGCGCTGGCCTGGCGCAGCCCGTACGGGTCGCGCGCTGCCTGTACGGGCCGCGCGCAGGCCACGACGGGCGACGGGGGGCGATGAACGGGTCCCCGTCGCCCGTCGCGGCGCCTCCCGAGGGCGACGCGACGGTTGACGGGGCCGAAGCCCGCCGCGCGCCTCGGGGCGCACAGCGGGCAGAGAACCGCCGCGCGCCTCGGGGCGCACGGCGGGCAGAAAACCGCCGCGCGCCTCGGGGCGCACGGCGGGAAGAAAACCGCCGCGCGCCTCGGGGCGCACGGCGGGAAGAAAACTGCCACACGCCACGGGGCGTGCGGCACCGAGTGTAGTGGTAGGAGTTGCAGCGGAAGCTAGGAGGTGGTAAGCCCACCCACAGGATCGATCCAAGGGGATCGACCTGCTCTGATAGCATGTTAAAGTTTAGAAGAAAGAAGAGGATTGCACTAGCAAGAATGAGGATACAAATAGCAAACCCTAGAAGGGTTGTACTCGCTATAGAGCGCCCCACTACAGGCTAGAGCATAAGATAACATTCTGACAGGTAGTCACACCATTCCGCTTACCTAATTCTGAGACGACACACCCCGGAGGAACGACTGTGGCGGAATCACTGCGTGGGACCGTCGTCGGGTCAACATTACAAAACAAAAACGATGATTTGGCTATCGCATCACCCATACCACTCCAGGCTCAGCGTCCCCAGTGCTTTGACCCGAGTCAACGGGGTGGTCCAACGGTTCAATTGTGGATTTTTACTATGAACGTTTTCTTCGCCAACCAGGGCTCCAAATCGGTTCTGGGTTAGTGTGAAAGATCAGAGTTGGTAAAAAAAATTACGTTGAAAATTAGACAAAAATGCCTTTTGACAATAGAAATCTGATAAATTTTCATGTTCCAACAAAACGATTGGAAAATAAGCCTCGGTAAAAAAAGAAAAAAAAAAAAAAAAACTAAAATCTTGACGTGTTTTTTTTTTTTTTTTTTTTTTTTTTTTTTCAGCCCTTTTTCGCTGACTTATGAGGCCCTGATGCCAACTACGTCACGTCGAACGCGACCAAAATTCGATACACCGTGTCGTTACTGCGAGGACCTGTCAGAACATTATAGCTCATGCATATTGTGTAGGCTATAGTGGGGTAGCCCATAAGGGGTACAACCCAATTAGGGTTAGTACTTGTACCCAATTCATTCATAGTTCATTCATTCCTTGTTTCTTATCATGGTATCGAGCAGGTTCCCTAGTGGGAACGCTTCCTAGGGCCCACCACGAATTTTTTTTTTTTTTTCCTGCCCGGAGCGCGCTTCGCTCCCACAGTCGCGCCCTCTCACGACCCCTCACGGCCCCTCGCGTCGCCCTTAGCGGCCCCTTACGGCCCCTCGCGCCGTCCCTTACGGCCCCTAGCGCGGCCCCTTACGGCCCCTTACGGCCCCTAGCGCGGCCCGTCGGCCCCTTACGGCCCCTTACGGCTCCTAGCGCGGCCCCTCGTGCCGCCCGTCGGCCCCTTACGGCCCCTTACGGCCCCTCGCGCGGCTCCTTACGGCCCCTTACGGCCCCTTACGGCCCCTCGCGCGGCCCCTTACGGCCCCTCACGCGACGCCTTACGGCCCCTCGCGCCGCCCGTCGGCCCCTTACGGCCCCTTACGGCCCCTCGCGCGGCCCCTTACGGCCCCTTACGGCCCCTCGCGCCGCCCGTCGGCCCCTCGCACCGCCCTCAGCGGCCCCTTACGCCCCCCTACGGCCCGTCGCCGCCCTCCGCGGCCCCTCGCGCCGCCCCTTCACGGCCCGTCGCCGCCCTCCGCGGCTCCTCGCGACGCGGCCCCTCGCACCGCCCTCTCCGGCCCACTGTCGCCGCCCCTACCGCAGCGTCCGCCGCCGTCCCTGCCGCAGCTGACTGCACCCGCCGACGCCGCTCCACTCGGCCCCGCCGCCGCTCCCCACGCGGCCTCGCCGCGCCACCTGAGCCGCCCGGGCCTGCCGAGCCGCCGTACCGCCGAGCCGCCCGAGCCGCCCGAGCCGCCGAGTTGCCGAGCCGCCGAGCAGCTGAGCCACCCGAGTCGCCCTGTCCGGTAAGTGCAGCGCCTCGGTCCCTGCACTGC